CGTTGTAGTCATGTCTGCGTTCCTTCAACGCTCTGCCAGTCCTGCTTCGTGCCAATTGAAGGAACATGGGGAAAAAAACACAGGAGGGAAAAAAAAAAAAAAAAAAAAAAAAAACCATGGGAAGAAACATAGGAACACACAAAAATGAAACAAGACAGACCGAAGATGAAAAAATCACAATTTAGTTAGACTTGAGATACAGTTGCACGAAATTGAAATGTTCTTTCCAGAGCTATTTGTATGGAGAGGGAAAAAGGTTCTCTCTCTCTCTCTCTCTCTCTCTCGCTCGCTCGCTCGCTCGCTCCGACAGAAAAAGTTTTGGGACGGACAGTAGGAACAGAAACACAATGACCATTACGGACATTATAGGTATCAAGTTTCACTACTGTGAGATTCGATGGCGAGATGGACTTGATCAGAGCGCTACTACGGAGGACTCGGAGGAAGGGATGATGAGTACACTGCGGGATTGAGGATAGCAGGTGGAGAGAACTAGGAAAGTAGGGTATAAATATTGTGGACAGTGGCTGAAATGATTACCTGAGCAGTGAGGTAGAAGGGTGATCGCGACATTGTCGCATGCCATGGACGAGACGTGTATACTGCGAAAGTAAAGCTTCGCACGTTTTGTCTGATATTTGCATGTCTCTCTCTCTCTCTCTCTCGCTCGCTCGCTCGCCCGCCCACGCACATGCCGTGATTGTAGGACTCAAAACCAAAGCGTAACAGCCAATTCTGGAGGAAGAGGGGAAACCCGGTGAGCAGTGCCCTCATGGTAATTTGCACCTGCCCCGCTCTCTCCTTCCTCTGCGTAACAAACAACAGTTCAGCCCAAACAGCTAGGGAACCAACATCTCTCTCTCTCTCTCTCGCCCCCCCTAGCGCGCGTCCTGAGTATGTGTACATCCAACGCTCTCGGCCCTGCCCGGCGCGTGCATCTCTCTCCCCTCCCATCCTGCTCCCAGATCCCGAGACCTGTCAAAGACCTGCGACCGTGCAACGTCACCGTCTTCGGAGACTGAATTCGCAAACCTGCCCTGGAGATTGACGACGACGTCACCTCTTGCCCTCACGATATGGAGCAATGGACGGCTAAGGAGCTGAGATATCAGAGGAAAAAGACGAGATCAAAGACGAAGAGCAGACACGACAAACAATGCATGCAGCTCAATGCGAGAGTACGGGATTAACTCAGCTGCAGCGTGACATCGGGCGGGTTGCAAGCGCGGGGAACTGCATACTGCACAAGAAAACGTCGACTGCGGCTGCGAGTTTGTTGGCGGCGGAAATGTGGTGAGGAAAACAGGCAAAAGAAGAAGAAGAAGAAGAAGAAGAAGAAGAAGAAGAAGGAGAGTGATTGAACAGAGGCCAAACTGCTCGTCGTACATGCTTCCAAAGACCAAAGATGACATTTCCGTATCCATTGTACTCAGGAAAAAACACCCACATTGCTCCCGTACCGAGGGAGCATCCTTCCTATGGCTCGAATTATATACAGGTCCTAATTCTCAGCAGCAGCAATTTCCGATCATACGAGAGAGAGAGAGAGAGAGAGAGAGAGAGGGAGGGAGAAAGACGTCACGACAAAGCGGGATCAGTTTAAGTCGTCTGTCATTTCTGAGCTGCGTTGGTTTTAGTAGCAGTCTGTTACTTGTGAGCTGCGTTAAACAGCGGAGCGGCGGCGGAAATTTTTCTTTGCGCCGGCAACTGCCGCAGCACCAGCCGTCCGCGCCGCAGCAGCTGCCGCCGTAACATGGGAGTTTCTGCCTTCTCCATTGTCCGCTCTTCAAAAGAGAGAGAGAGAGAGAGAGTAGAGAGAGAGAGTAGAGAGAGAGAGTAGAGAGAGAGAGTAGAGAGAGAGAGAGTAGAGAGAGAGAGTAGAGAGAGAGAGAGTAGAGAGAGAGAGAGAGAGAGAGAGATGAGTTTTACAGAGATCGGTAGCTGTGCATTCTACACTTCTCCTTGTCCTCCTCCGTCTCTCCTTCGTTAGGCATCAGCTATGGTGGCTGCTGGCTCCTCCTTCTCTCTCCTTTCTCTGCCAATGCGTGCGCAAGTACATACAAGTGTGGGCGACACCCTCATCTCCGTCATCATCAACTGTCATTGCTGTCGCCCGAGTCAAGTTGTGAACCCGATTAAGCCTCTCCTAAAATTATGGAGGCTCCCGCACGCACCGTAGACAACATAAATAAATCGGCGTCGAGTGCCCCCTCTAAACGGGGAGGCCGCGGCCGATAGCTGGCATACACTGTTGGTTTAATACATTCCTCAACCCTCATCATGCAGATTGCAGATTTCTCGCCTTCAGGATCTCGAGTCCGCCGCGCCAGCATGAATCAAGGTCCCATCACCGTTTTCACTCGGACTGGTGATGCTCGTCCGCACGACACAAGCGGGAATCAAGGTCCCATCACCGTTTTCACTCGGACTGATGACGTCATCATGAGACTGGGGATGCTGCGCTGTACATGTGCACTACATGTAGGACATGCCAAGGACATCTCGACATCCTGACTCAGATTAGCATATCGTCACTGACAGCGACTTCAGCGCTGCGGAGGTGGCGCCAAAGAAGCACCTAACCTCCGCCTCCAGCATGATTTTTTTTTTTTTTTTTTTTTTCTCACTTTCATTGAAGTGAAAGCGGCGAATGGGAAGGATGATTCTCGACGATTACCCACACAGGTCCCGCGGGCACGCACGATATCAAGACAAGCCCAATGAGACCGTGCACCTACCGTCTTCCCCCCTGAACACAACACCCACCCTGATTACGAATGCATACAAGCTATCTTTCCGGTCCTATACAGCCAAATCTAGGGTGCGTTGTGTTCGGGACAACACGATAATCAACGAAATTCGTACGATCGATTGACACAGGCAATCCTTGGTAAGATCGATCGGACACATAGCTAGCTTTCCGGTCCCATACAGCCAAAACTAGGGTGCGTTGTGTTCGGGACAAGACGCTAATCAACGAAATTCTTGTGCCGAAGGCAATCCTTGCTTGGTACGATCGATCAGAAGCCTGTGACCTGTGATATGGTGGTGCACCTACTTCAGCATCTCATCCGATCGATCGCACCAAGCATATCTTCCTGCACCTGCATTTCTAACCTCGTTGCAACGACCGGTCGGTGGAGTAATGACTGTTGTCAGGGGCGACACTATCTACAATCACGGAGGTGGGGGACGGACAGTGAAACAGCATTTTTAATTGCAGTAAAAGTAACAACTTACGGAAAGAGAAGAAGAATGCTTCTACATACTTGAAACATTGACATTGAAGTGTTTAATGAGATTTCATTAACTACCGGTAGTGAAGGATTACTTCGCGCATTGGATTTAGTAAATGGGGTTTCTGGCGGTGGTCAGGGAGTAGGGTAGGGGGCAACATGCACCCCCTTAATTGTAAGACGTAGATATAGCTATGCTTGCAGGGGTCCCCTATATATTGTCACATGAATATCAGAGCGCAAAAGCGAAAAAAAAAAAAAAAAAAATGAATTCGTTTTTTAATCTTCTTCCTTACAACTCCCCCTGTTCAGATCATCACAAAGATATCAGAGCGCAAAAAAAGCGAAAAAAGAAGGAATCTCGTATACATATAAGATCCATGTGATGATATATGCGTAGGCGTAGTGTTAGGTTGATCGTTCGATCAATCGGAGAAACATACAGGTTATTAATGCAGATGCTGTGTCTGCATGTCATTTTTGCCCTGCCCCCACCACACGTTTCAATCCCTTTGCTTCTTTTGCTGTGCCTGACGCAATCCTTTCCTCCCACATTTACTGCAACTGAACTGTTCCCGTCGTCTTCAACCACCTTCTCTGAACAGGAGAAGCCAATCAATCAATCAAACAGCGGAGGCAGTGGTGAGTGACGATGACCTTGATCTTCTGGATGACTCGCTCGCTATACGTCAGTGAAGGTGATGATGGGGAAGGCTGCATTCTTCTTGAGGAAAAAACCGGCAGAAGACTCTGCGGTAGACTGTGACCATGACCTCTATCGAACACTGGAACTTGAGACACGCTGCAGAAGTTTCGTCGTCTTCAACCACCATTACTGCGCGACGACGAAACTTCTGCAGCGTGTCTGAGTTAGTCGAGGGCAAACTGCTACCGTGAGATCTCGGCCACTACCGTCTTCTTCCCCCGAACACAACGCACCCTTATTTTGGCTGTATCTGGCCGGAAATATCGCTTGTATACATTCATTTTTAGGGTGCGTTATGTTCGGGGGAAGTCGGTAAGAGGTGGTTATCTCCTGTTTTCGCCGCGGGTATCGTTTTCTGTGTTCGATGAATTCTCCCAGGGTTTGTTTATCGTTCAATGCCATGGTCGGCGGTTGTGGTGCTGGCAAGCGGTCTGCGACGGAACAACCACCGCACACATGTCCTGACACGTGTCCTAACACGTGTCCTGTTTCTTAGACACGTGTTTAACAGTTGGAGACGACGTCGAAACTATCTATGGCTAAAGAGAAGACTACCTAGAGAAGGAAGACGCCGCCGTGACAAACCCCACACTGGCAAGCAGGCCTGCGACGGAAATAGCGGACACGTGTCCTGATTGCCGTGTCTTCTGGAGGACACGTGTAGAGTTTGGAGACGACGTCGAAGCTATGGCTAACGACAGAAGACTAGAGAAGGGGACAGCGGAGAAGAAGACAGTAGAGAAGGAGACAGCGGAGAAGAAGACGCCATCGCCATGACAAATCGCACAAGGCAACGAAGAGAGAGTATCGTCACTACCACGGTGCATCCACACCCCAGAGGCAAAAGCTGTCGACGAAATGCCAGAGGCATCACAAATCGCACACGCCACGAAGAGAGAGCATCGTCACTACGACGGTGCATCCACACTCCAGAGGCAAATGCTGTCGACGAGATGCCAGCGCCATCACAAATCGCACACGGCACGAAGACAGTATCGTCACTACCACGGTGCATGCACCACCCAGAGGCGAAAGCTGTCGACGAGATGCGGCTGAACTGAACAACTCACCTGACTGATTGCGGCGGCTGAGGTCTGTAAGCGCAGCGCTGCTAGCGCATCAGTGAAGCCTGTAATTGCTCCCAGCGATCCCTTCCTTCTGGGAAGCCGAGCGTCGCTCTTCGTCGCTTTTGTCCCCTACTACTGGTAAGCTTCCGATTTCTCCCCTCCCCTCTTCCCCTCCCCTCACCCCAGGTACTACCGACGCTTTGCGGAACTTGAGCGGGACGGTGCGGCTGTGGGAATGAGAATGAGAACGTCAATAGACGCGACCGCGGCTTCGTCAATTGACGCGACCGCGGCCTTCGGTCTGCTGGTGGGCCTAATGAGCGCATTCGCCGGGATGGATAAGGGCATACTCACACTAGCACTTCCAAAATGCATCCGACTGCAATTACAGCCCGTCCTGGATGCATGCGGCCGCAATCACGTCCATAAATAAGTAATCAAGTCCTCCTGTGAGTATGCCGTAAGACGCAGTAGCTCGGCGGCTTTAGGGCCAGGACCGACTACCGGTAGGCAAGATTTACGGGCATCGCCACACCACTCTCGAAATGTGCAAAATGAGAATGAACTTCCTGCTATAACATGGCCAGATGCATCCAGCCCATTTTTGTCTTTTCCGCTTTTCGAGAGTGGTGTGGCGAGTTCCTACCTCTCGCCTGTTTGGTTTCCAACTACGTGAGGCCGTCCGCGACAAAAGGCAATCGTTGATGATGCTCCGTATCGAGGACGCAGTGTGATTTCTTCGTTTTCGTCTCAATACCTGTCAGCTGCCCTTCGGCCAATAGCAGACTTTTAACAAAAAAGTTTTTCCATTTAGTTTGCCACTTTTTTTTTTTTTTTTTTTTTTTTTTTTGAGAAGTTGTCGCTTTATCTCTAATACTATATAATACTATATACTATATAATACTATAAAGCAAATAGAGTGTCTCGCATGATGGTCCCACACGAGCACCCGCTGCCAGTGTTGGGAAAAGTCGAGACGGGCCCAGGGCCCATGCTAGGAGCAGGCGGCGAAACGGCGCCGTGGCCAAACGGGTCGGGAGCGGGTGGCGAATCGACGAGCGGGCTGTGCCGGGTCGGGAACGGGCGGGGAAACAGCGAGCGTCGGGCGGACGGAGGTCTCGCGTGACGGCCCCATGGCCAAACGGGTCGGGAGCGGGTGGCGAATAGACGAGCGGGCTGTGCCGGGTCCGGAATGGGCGGGGAAACAGTGACCGTCGTGCAGATGGGCAGCGAGCGGGCGGCAGAGGAGTTGTGCATGTCGGGGTGTGGATGCGGGGAGGTGCACGCGGGCGGGCAGGGCACGCACCTCTCAGTCGAAGAGCGCACGCACCCGGCGGTCAGATCAGAGTGGAGAGAAACGGCTCTGTCGAGCGCATGCACCCGGCGCACAGATCAGAGGGAGAGGGCACGCACCTCTCAGTCGAAGAGCGCATGCACCCGG